GGGATTGAGTCGGGCGTGTCCCTCTACAGGAAGAATATCCAAAAATAGTCCCCCAAAAATATGATATTATGTCTATGTTTGGAAAGTTTTGAATATGTTTAACTTTGTTTCTTTTCCCTCCAAAACCCGCCTGTAGGAGGGCATGCCCGACCTAACTTTCGGAGAGCTCCTGCTCACTGGGCACATGCAGGGTGTCGTCGTCGTCGCCGCCGCCGTCGTCGCCGCTGTCGTCGTCTTCCTGATCCTTCCTACAGTCCTCATCGGTGCCTCGGTGCTGAGGGCAGCATTTTCTATCCAACTGACGCCCTGCCCCTTACCCAGGGATGTACCGAATTCAAATGAAAAGAATGGAAACAACAGTCACGTCAGACCCTGAAACCAGGTTGTAGGTGTTGCCTTGCCGCCTCATCGGCATCTGACAGGCCTCTGATGCTACAAGGTGATCAAAAAAGGGACTCCAGAATCATCGCGAAGATCCTAAGAGAGCCCGAGAACGGCTTGTGGAGGTCTCTGAAGAAACCCCGTTGAGCCTTCGGACGGCTGTTTTACGGGGGGGCGGGGGGGACGCTGCTTGGACTGATCCCTGCTCTGGTTTGACTGCTGCACCTACGAATCATCTCTGGATGATGGGCCGTGGGGTATACGAAGCGTAAATAATCCACCGACCCGTCGGCGTGTGTGAGACGCTGTCGTCGTCGTCGTCGCTAATCCCAAGAAAATGGAGGAACAACATCAAAAAAAGAAAACCAGCCGATTCCTTCCCCTTTTTCCCTTCCCCGACGGGGGAGGGAGGGGCAGGGGGGGAGGCACTGGAGCAGGGGGGGAGGGCAGGAGGGGGATGCCACGGGTCAGTAAAACAGGGCTAGGATCGGGATAAATCGCTCCAGAGCGTTCCGGAGCGCTCTCAGAGCGTTCCGGAACGCTCTGGAGCGGCCGCGGCGCCCAATACATCCTCCAAACCCGCCGATTCTCAGAGATTTCGAGAGATTTCGAGTTATCCCAATCCGATTTTGTCCCGATCTTCGCGTCGTTTTAGTCAGTTTACCCCCCCCCCCGGGGGTCCCAGCGGGCCCCCGGGGCGGCCCCACCTGTGGACAGGGGGCAAAGGGGCCCTCGGTGGGGGGTGGGAGTGGCGCGGCCGGCCCTGGCCCTGGCCCCGACCCCGCCGGCCCCGACCCCGGCCAGGGCTCTCTTCGCGCCTGGCGCGTCAGTGTCACACCGAGTGGGCTCCGACTGCTTGCAGCGCGGGCGCTCGTCGCCACGTGCTGCTGGATGCTCTGGTCGCCTGCTCGAGTGTGCAGGACTGCTGTCTCTGGCTCGCTTCGGCGTGCCGGGGCCCCCAGCCCTGGCCCCCGGGCCGTGGCCGTGGCCCCCGCCCCGGCCCTGGCACGGGCCCGGGCCCAGGCCAGGGCCCCGGCCGAGGTCTTTCAGGAGGGGGGGTCCCGCCTTCCGGGTCGGCGGCACCGGCCGCAAGGCCTTCGCGGTTGTCACCAGTATACCACCCCCCTCGACTCGTCGTCGTACGACTGCCTGCGCCCTTCCAGTCGTCGCACCATGAGGATACTGCAGAACCAAACCTGACTTCTCCGCATCGGCGTGCAGCTTATGCGAGCGATTCGCGCTGTAAGAGCAAGTGTGGACAATGAGAGCCACATCATTCGGAGTACGGTCACGAGCAACACAATACAAGATGATGGATATGATCAAGCAGGTACGTCTCGTCGCGCATAAGGCATAGGCGACTGCATGGACGTGCTTACCGCACTGCTGGAACTAACTTCGACCGCTAGACCAACACAATTGTTGAACGGCATCTGGTTTTGCACAGTGACGCCCTTGCCAGAGCATATCGAACACATAGGAATAAGAAGCAAGCGGGCTGCGAAGATAGGAGGAACAGCGATACCGCTACTCCCTGAACCTCTCCCAGGGTGCGTTCTTACCAGGAGTCCTAGGCGAATCCAGCCATGGCGACGAAGGCCCCCAAAGGAAAGTCGAAGACAAGGGAAAGGCTATCGGTATGATTATCTTCTGAGAGACAGGCTGCGCTGCCTGGCGCGCGTCGATGCCTCTCGCCTCATAAACCTCCTGGAAGTTGATGTCACACAACTGCTTCTCGCGCTCGTTCAGCGTGCGCAGCCAAGGTGCACCCCGGTAGCCTTTGCAGCCGAGTCTGCCCTCTGGATCGAGAGAAAACTTGCGGGAGGTAGCCCGACTCTAGGTCACCTAATTGCGCGTGTCGTCCCGCGTGAAACGCGACGCGCGGTTATCTTCGCGGCCTTGCGAGGCCACCCTGGAGAAGAACCGCTCTTATGTCCAGGCCGCGCCGCGCGAAGCGCAATCATCTTCGCGCCCTACAAATGACGTAACCCTCGTCCTTCTCATCGTCCTCATGCTCCTCCGCTTTCTCGCCCCCCCCTGGGCAAGAGCATAAGGCGCGTCTAAGGCGGCTGCTGGTGTACGGCTTGGAGTAGCGGTTGCGGAGCGAGTCCCGGTGCATCTGGCAAGGCATCGTCCTCGTCGTTGCCGTCTTGTTCGTCCGCGAGGTCATCTTCGTGGACGTCGATCGTCGTCGTCGGCGTCTTTTTCGTCCTCGAGGTCGGCATCGTGGTCGTCGTCCGTCGTCGTCCGTCTTCCATCGTCGTCCGTGGTCGTGGTCGTGGTCGTGGTCGTTGTTCGAGGGTCAAAGGGCGAGATGTCAAATGCTTTTGGCTCTTCCTGGGCCCCCTGGGACCTGGGAAGCCACGGCGAGCTCCAGAGTTGGAAGCTCCGAAGAAAGTCTCGGTGGTTCAAAGGTGGGGTCCTGAGGGATAAGGCCCTAAGGACGAGGCGCCCAAAACAGTGCAAATCCACCCGTGAATCCCTTCCTATCCTTAGGACCCCATCCCTCGGGACCCCAGCTTTGAACCACCGACGAGAGCGCCAGGGACGCGGAAGCACCGGCAGGACGCCGCCAGGATGCCGCAAAAAGGACGCCGCGAGGACCCCTCAGAGGCAGCTGCCGCGGCGGCACGCGAAAAGCTGCGAGGGCTGGGCGGGCAGGGGGCGACCGTCCGAGGGCAGGAGGGGTTCCGGGAAAGCCTCGGCCCCGTTCTGCCTGGAGAGCCAGCGGCTCGGGAAGTCGAAACCTCGCTCGGGTAGCCCAAGGGCCAGCAAGGGACTCCAGAGACACCCCCAGAACGTCGTGGGGATTCTTGGGCACCTCTTGGGGGCCTCGGGTAGCCTCGTGGACACTCTTTGCGAGCGTCTGATCCCGACTTTCACGAATGCCTCTTCCATCGTGGGGGTCGTCCTCCAGGGTCGGCGGCACAGGCTGTGATGGCCTTAGCAATCGAAGCCTCACTTGGGTAGTCCAAGGGCCAGCTTCCGGCCCTGGAACAATCAAAAGGCGACCAGGAACAAACAGATGGCCCCCGAGAAGGGGTCGATACGTCTGGGGGTGCGTTCTGAAACAGGACGAGGAGGAGGAGAAGGAGGAGGAGGAGGAGGGGGAGGGGGAGGGGGAGGAAGAGGAAGAGGAGGAGGAGGAGGAGGAGGAGGAGGAGGAGGAGGAGGAGGAGGAGGAGGGGGAGGGGGAGGGGGAGGAGGAGGAGAAGGAGGAGCAGACATTCTCGCCGTCGGAGTCTGGGTGAGAAGGCATGGAGCTTCGCAGAAGGGCACGACCCCTTTCTGAGAAGAACCCCCCACACCTTCTAAGAGGCGGAGGGCCCTGTCAGAAGGCGGCCAAATCCCCGCCCCCGCACCGACAAGCCACACTTGAGGGAACTGCGTTCCCTGCCACCCTGGGAGAAACCACCTTATCGACGATCTCTCTAGAGGGGTGTCGGAGTCGATGTTGGGAAAGGACATGTGAGCCTGCAGGTCAGATTTCTCGAACGCCAGCTCGTGTTCAGAATTCGAAGGATGTCCGCAGCCAACTGAACACCAGCGAGGGCATACGATACCCCAGCGTCTGTTGGACCCGCATATGCAGGGATTGTAACTGGCCGCCGACAGGTCGGAAATACTCACGGCGAGCAAAGCCGCCACTGCTACCACACGCTACGACGAGAACTACCTATCTGAAGGGGCCCACAAACACACAAATAAATACACACTAATAAAATGATTCACCATATTTTCCTATATGTTCTAGGTGTTTGTCTTCCCCCCCACTTCCCATATTTTCCCATATTTTCTAAGGAATCGACGAATAATTGTGTCTGTGTGTTTTTCCCCTCCCACCCATCGAAGAATTTCCCTGGCCAACCCTCCAGCGCCCCTGGCCGAACCTCTCTGACCAAACCCTGCGTTCGGACCAAGATTCCCGAGCAGAACCTGGCCGCGGCGACGCGGGCCCCCCAGCAAGCCAAAGAGGACAAGGACGAGGGAAGGGCAACGGCATCGGCATGGATCTCTCCACTCCATGTTCTTCGCAGAAGGCATCTATACACCATCACCGTGCCAGGCCAGGGCCATCTTGGGCCCCAGGATGGTGTATCCGCCCTCCTGGCCGAGGCCAAGAGGGTCTATACACCATCCTGGGGCCCAGGATGGCCCTGACCTGGCACGGTGGTGGTGTATAGATGCCTTCGTCGGATGTTCTCCACTGACCGACGATGGGTCGCGGAGACCAGATGCCAGCGGCCACCCCAGCCCGACATGGCACGGCCGTCGCGCCGCAGGCCTGCGCGGGGCGCAGGTCCTCCTGGGAACCCCCTCCCGAGAGCACTGAGCGAGAAGCGCGCCGATTCGCCCCTAGCTCGGGGGTGCGGGCGGGGGGGAGAGCGGGAAACAAAACACCAGGAAACATAAGAGAGAGAGAGAGAGAGAGCACGCCCGCGGTACACTCCCAAGGGGGGGGGTCCCCCCTTAGCTGCCCCCCCTCCCTTTGAGCCTCCCCTGCTGGAAGCCCACCCCCTCCTTTTTTCTGCCCCCTCGGAGGCCCTCCCCTTCGCGCTCCAGAAGCTGTCACCCCCCCCCCCCTTGTCCAAAGAGGGGGGGGGAGGCGTAGCTACCCCCCCCCCCCCCCCTGGGACCTCCCCTGCCGAAAGCCCCTCCCCCCTCTCTTGTTCCCGCCCACCGGAAGCTAACCCCCCCTCCCCCCCGCCTTCGCGCTCGAGAAGCTACACCCCCCCTCTCTTTTCGAAGGGGGGGGCTTAGCTACCCCGACCCCTTTTGACTCCCCCTGCCGGACAAAAGCAGCGCCGAAAACATAAGAAGCGCGGAAAACCAAAAGAGCGCGAAAAAACTAGAGGGGCGCAAAAAAACAAAAAAGCGCCGACAACCAAATAGGGCGCCGACATCCAAAAAACCGAAAAACCAACGGGGCGCCGAAAAACACAAGGGCTGAACCAAAGGAGCGCCGAATACCAAAGAGGGCGCCGAAAACCCAAGAGGCGCCGAAAACCAAAAAGGCTCCGAAAACCACAGGGGCGCCGAAAATCCAAGAGGCGCCGAAAACCAAAAGAGTGCCGAAAACCAAAGAAGCGCGGAAAACCAACAGGGCGCCGAAAACCAAAAAGAACCGAAACCGAAAGGGCGACAAAAACCAAAGGATCGCCGAACTTGAAAAGGACGCCGGAAACCAAAGGGGCACCGAAAACCAACAGGGCGCCGACAACCAAAGGGCCGCCAACACCAAAAAAAGTACCGAAAACCAACAGGGTGCAGAAAACCAGAGACGCGCCGTAAACAAAAAGGGCAACAAAACGGCGCCGAAAACCCAAAGAGCGCCGACAACGAAAGGGGCGCCGAAAACCGCAAGGGCGCCGTGAACCAAAGGAGCACCGAATACCAAAGAGGGCGCCGAAAACCAAAGGGGCGCCGAAAACCCAAAAGGGCGCAGAAAGCCAAAAATAACACAAAACCAAACAAGCGTCGAAGACAAAAAGGGCGCCGACAACCAAAAGGGCGCCTAAAACCACAAGGGCTGAACCAAAGGAGCGCCTAATACCAAAGAGGGCGCCGAATACCAAAGAGGCGCCGAAAACCAAAAAGGCTCCGAAGAGCACAGGGGCGCCGAAAACCAAAGAGGCACCGATAACCAAAAAGGCTCCGAAGACCACAGGGGCGCCGAAAACCAAAGAGGCGCCGAAAACCAAAAGAGTGCCGAAAACCAAAGAAGCGCGGAAAACCAACAGGGCGCCGAAAACCAAAAAGAACCGAAACCGAAAGGGCGACAAAAACCAAAGGATCGCCGAACTTGAAAAGGACGCCGGAAACCAAAGGGGCACCGAAAACCAACAGGGCGCCGACAACCAAAGGGCCGCCAACACCAAAAAAAGTACCGAAAATCAAAAGGGTGCCGAAAACCAGAGGTGCGCCGAAAACAAAAAGGGCAACAAAACGGCGCCGAAAACCAAAAGAACGCCGAAAACCAAAGAGGCGCCGCAAACCACAAGGGCGCCGTGAACCAAAGGAGCGCCGAATACCAAAGAGGGCGCCGAAAACCAAAGGGGCGCCGAAAATCCAAAAGGGCGCAGAAAGCTGAAAATAACACAAAACCAAACAAGCGTCGAAGACAAAAAGGGCACCGAAAACCAAAAGGGCGCCGCCGAAAACCAATTGAGCACCGAAAACCAAGAGGACACCGAAAACCAAAGGGACGCCGAAAACCAAAGGGGCGTCGAAAACCAAAGGGTAGCCGAACACCCAATGGGCACCAAAAACCAGAAGGAGCACCGAAAAAGAAAGAGGTGGCGAAAACCAACGATGCGCCGAAAATCAAAAGAGCGGCGAAAAAACACCAAAGGTGCACCGATAACCAAAAGAGCGCCGAGAAACCAAAGGGGCGCCGAAAACAACAGAACCTCCGAAGTCGGACAGGGCGCCAAAGGCGCCGAAAATCAAAGGGGCGCCGGAAACCGCAGGAGCGCCGAAAACCACAGGGGCGCCGAAAACCAAAAAGGCGCCGAAGAACACAGGGGCGCTGAAAACCAACGATGGATGCGCCGAAAACCAAAAGGGCGCGGAAAAACAAAAGACGTGCCGATAACCAACAGGGCGTCGAAAACCAAAGGGCGCCAAAAACCAAAGGCGCGCCGAAAGCCGACGGGCACACAAAACCAAAGGAGCGCCGAAAACCACAGCGCCAAAACCAAAAGGGCGCCGAAAACTGAAGGGGCGCCGAAAATCAAAGGGGCGCCGAAAACCTAGAGGGCGCCGAAAACCAACGATGCGCCGAATACCACAGGGTGCACAGAACACCGAAAGGGGCTTCAAAAACCAAAGGCGCGCCGAAAACTAAAGGAGCGCCGAAAACCAAAGGGGCGCCGAAAACCAAAGGGGCGCCGAAGGCCCAGGGGGCGCCGAATACCAAAGAGGGCGCCGAAAACCAAAGAGACGGCGAAAACCACACGTACGCCGAAAACCAACGAGGCGCCGAACACCAAAGAAGAAAAGTAGCTTCGAAACCCCCCCTTCAGCGAGGGGCCTCCAGCTGGAAAAGCCAACGGAAGGAGGGGAAGGGGGGGTAGCTTCGGAAGGCCCCCCCCCTCTTTGGAAAGGTGAGCCTGGGCT